ATAGCAACCCACTACTGATACAGATACATACATAGGCATACCCATGAAGTATTATTATCCAACCAAGTTAATCATATTTGGGCAAATGTATAAGCTGTTGCTGATCTGATTAAGCATGTTATGTGAATATAGGCAACCAGTTGAAAATAATTGGGGCTGTGCCCAGAAAAGATTTTTGTCAGCATTGCCACCTGTACTCAGCGACACATTTTTCATATTTTTTTAATCATCGTAATTTTTAATTGGTTTTGGATGGCACTTGCAAGCAGTGTTTTTGTGACTGTTTTTTAATGCATCTGCATGCATATTTCTTAGGCATTTTACTGTCAGTTTACCTACCAATTTCCTCAAACTGTCATTAACAACCAAGAGTGATTTATCCTGCAGTTAAAAAATACCTGAGCAAGGAGTTCTGTATTTATTGCCCTATCATTGGGCTCTGTGGATTGGACCAAAGGCTCATCTGTTCTTGGGAAGATTTTAATTTTTGTTCTCCATGTTTGTCTCTGTAGTGTGACCAATCCCATCATGGGAGATCAAAAAAAAATCACACTCACATGCTTCACAAAAAGCAAATCTCCCCTTTTCTGGATGGCTTCGTAAGATGGTGGTGCCTATGCAAAACAAAAGGACATCCCTCCCGAGGAATACAATTTTTATTTGGATTTCTGATTAGCTCAAGAGTATTAAAACAATACTCTTGTTTTAATGCACGGTGGCTCAGTAGCTAAGACACTGAGCTTGTTGATCAAAAAGTCGGCAGATCAGAGGTTCGAATCCCTAGTGCCGCGTAACGGGGTGAGCTCCCATTATTTGTCCCAGCTTCTGCCAACCTAGCAGTTTGAAAGCATGTAAAAAATGCAAGTAGAAAAATAGGGATCACCTTTGGTGCGAAGGTAACAGCATTCCATGAACCTTTGGCATTTAGTCATGCCGGCCACATGACCACGGAGACGTCTTCGGACAGTCCTGGCTCTTCGGCTTTGAAACAGAGATGAGCACTGCCGCCTAGAGTCAGGAACGACTAGTACATATGTGCTAGGGGAACCTTTATCTTTTTATTAAAACAATTTAAAATTTAAAAAAAGTGCTAGGTAAAAAAAGTGCCTCCCCTCAGCATTTTATGCATTTTTTTTTTTAAAAAAATACTGACTTCTAGAAAAAGTCCTTACTTCCTGTACACCATTCAATCCACTGACTACACTGTACCTTCTAGTACAGGGGTGTCAAACTCACGTCGTCACGGTGTTGTCATATGATGTATTGGAACTTTTTCCCCATTCACTAAACTTGGGTGGGGGCAGGGCCAGCATGTGCCACATCTGGCCTGCTGGCTGCAAATTTGACACACCTGTTCTAGTTTCTCCTGGCCACCAATTCTAAAATATGGCCTCCTGATGGCCATTCCCATCCCCTCTCCAGTTTTTTTTCTTTGAAAAGAGAATTTTTCAAATAATTTGTTTCCATGTCTGGTACTAGGATGGAAGTGACTAATGATGCTCCTAAATCAGGAGGAAGATCTAAAGAAGTTTGGCCACCTTGAGATTTCCATTAGAAAACAGTAGCACAAGGTGAGTAGGTGGGTTTTGATGAGGAAGTAGTAAGTATCACTCTTATTCCTCCTACTGCTTCAGGTTCTTTCCTACAGTGATAGATCTTCAGGTTTCAGGCCCAGGGTCCTTGTATATGGTTGGTGACCATTGCTATTATTGGTCTGAAGGTAGCTCCACCACAACAATGCACAGTCTAAGGCACTAGCATGGATGGCTACCAGGATGGATTTTCCAGGCAACACACCTGAAAGCATGACCGTCTGGTTAAATTTGGGCAATTGGTAGAAATGGCATACTTGTGATGGTAGCTAAGGATGCATTTCCAAATACACATAGGAAAATAACTTCCATGGGGATATATGGACTCTTCCTTCCTTACATTGTACTTTCCTTCCAATAGCAAATGGAATTTGTTTGAAATTCTCTCTGCAGGCAGTTTCCTCCCTTGACAATTCTTTTATATGTTCTGCTTGCCAGGATATTGATCCTCACTGTTTAATTTACTTCTACGCCATTATTTTCCTTAGCATGATAATTTCTGGGTATTATATGTCACCTCAGCAGGTAAGAAATATCCAAGACTGGAAACTAAACTGGGAAGTCAAAGCAAGCACCCCGGAAGAAGGCAACAGTCTCTCTTTCATGCTGTGGCAAGAGAACTATATTACTGTACACGGGTGTGTTGATGAAGCCATGAGGAATTAAATTCAACTTGAAGGAGGCATTACGTTTCAATTTATCATCACATGTTTTGTTTCTACACCAAATCAAAACTCCTAGAGCCGTGATGGCGAACCTATGGCACGCTTGTGTGCATGCCTCCCGCCAGCCGATTTTTGGATCTATGCCATGCATGCGTGGGGGAGGGGTGCGTGTGGGAGATGCGATGTATATGTGAAAGGCTGGGTGCACGCAGGGTTGCAAGCACATGCGCATGGGGCAGGGCACACGTGGGGGTCACACGCGCATGCTTGGGGGTGGGGGGCAGGGGCGCATTGCATTATGCGTGTGTGCACATGCGCTTTTGGCACTCAGTGCCAAAAAGGTTAGCCATCACTGTCCTAGAAGAAGCTGGCTACAACCAAGTAACTAAACATAGTGTGGGGACCAGTTTGCAACAATACACAGAATAGTTTACAGAAGTAGCTGAATTGTTTAAAGTCACTCTGTAACAGTTTAAGCTGGTCAGGTAGCTCTCTTTGGGTCAAAGACGTTTTTCATATACTGTATACTTTTCATATACGGGTCAAAGACGTTTTTCATATGAAGCAGGGGTGGGTTCTACTTACCTTTACTACCGGTTTGCAATGGGATCGCACGCAAGCGCGCGCTTTGCTCGCATGGACAGATCGCCTATGATGACATCTGGGGCGGTGGGCGGAGCCTCCCACTGGTTTGACTACCGGTTCTTGCGAACCGGTCTGAACCGGGGGCAACCCACCACTGGTATGAAGACATTTGCATTTGAGGTAGGAAAGTAGGGGAAATGATATATGAATCAAAGTTCTGATTTTGTATTTTTCCAGTTTAACAAAATGCATTTGGCAGCAAAATGAGTGTTAAATAATCTCCGAGAAATATATGTTCCATTAGGGAACTGTTAAGAGCAAAACAAAGTGACAGGATTGAAGCCAGAGATTGATAAATATATGGTTGGGAAACACCTATTTACTTTAACTTTCCAGAGCCAGATAGAAATTACATACTGGAGTTCTGAAGCAGCCTACTGAACATCTGGTGTTTTTTGTATCATATTTGGGAAATATGGAGAAGTGGTGAAGTGCCAGATGAATGCAGGTGGGCTAATGTTGCCCCGTGTTCAAAAGAGGGGACAATGGATTTTAAAACTACTAATAGTCTGACACTGAAATTTAAGACAATTCTAGGGAAGATTATAATGAGGTAAACCCGGGAGCATCCTCCCCAATTACCAGAAATTAGCAGGGATTTGTCACAAACAAATCTTGTCAGACTAGCCTGGCAAATCTTGTCAGACTAGACTTATTTTTCTGATTGTATAACTTCCTTAGTAAGAAACCCAGAAACCTGTAAAATCCTGTAAAAAGACATTGAAGGCCCTGGGTATATTTATCCTGGAGAAAAGATGACAGGACGGGAAAATGATAGCCTTCCTCAAGTACTTGAAAGGATGCCTCTCAGAAGAAGGTCAAGACTATCTTTCTTCATTCCAGAGTTCAGAACATAAGAGAATGTTTACATTACAGGATGGCAGATTCTGATTGAATGTTAGGGTGGGGGTAGGGGTGGTAGAAAAACTTCCTAACAATAAGAATGATTTGACGGTGATACCAATTACCTAGAAAACAGGATGGCATGCCCTACAGTGTAGGTGTTCATGTAGAGACTGGACAGCCATCTGTCAAGGCTTTTTTATTTTGGACTCCAGCACAGAGCAGGAGATTGGACTGATGGACTAAACCAGAGGTCTTCAAACTTGGCCGCTTTAAGACTTGTGGACTTCAACTCCCAGAATTCTCCAGCCAGCTATGCTGGAATTCTGGGAGTTGAAGTCCACAAGTCTTAAAGCTATGCTGGAATTCTGGGAGTTGAAGTCCACAAGTCTTAAAGCGGCCAAGTTTGGGGACCCCTGGACTAAGCAGACCCCTCCAAGTCTATGTTTCTATAATTTAAAAAGTATATTTTGAATTACAATGAACTGTTTGAAGGGCTGGTTTCAGGATAAATTATTGATGTGGGAAGTTACCTTTATCTCTTCAAACAAAAACTCCTTTAACTGACAATTGACCAAATTGGAAACAGGCCCAGGAACACTGTGTGAAGACCCTCTCCCTCATTTGCCTCTCTCACTATTTCTTTTGCTAGTGGTCCTATAAGATCATTGGTACGAAAGGATAATGCTATTCCCAATACCTTTCCAGATCTTACTTACAGGTAGTCCTCAATTTACGACCGCAATTGAGCCCAAAATTTATGTTGCCGAGCGAGACATCTGAAAAAGTTAGTTTTGTCCCATTTTACGACCTTTCTTGACACAGTTATTAAGTGAATGATTGCAGTCGTTAAGTTAGTAACACGGTTGTTAATTGAATCTGGCTTCCCCACTGACTTTGCTTGTCAGGAGGTTGCAAAAGGTGATCACATGATCCCAGGACTGCAACCACCATAAATATGAGCCAATTGCCAAGCATCAAAATTTTGATCGTCTGACCATGGAGATGCTGCAATGGTTGTAAGTGTGAAAAATGATCATATAAACCACTTCTTTTAGTGATGTTGTAACTTTGAACAGTCACTAAATGAACTGTTGTAAGTCAGGGACTACCTGTATTTATTTATTTATGAGACAACTTATATTCTTTTCTCCAGCTGGCACTTGTCATAGTCTTCACTGATGTGTTCTTTGCCAACATGGTGGGACACAAGTGAGATACGGACAGCAATTGAACTTCCTATTGCTATTGCCATATCAGAGAGTCTTCTAGCAGGACAACACTCCAGCGGCTCCTCTATGGTCTTCTCAGACAGGATAGGATTGAAAAAGTTATGGTGTTTGCAGCTGAGGTAAATGGCAACACGCATTTCACTTACTGAAAATATTGCTAAAGACAAAGAGTTTTCTGAATAGTTTTTATCCCAGAGCTATAATTGCACTCAACAATGAACTAAAGGGCCACCATCAGTGAGCTGTTGGACAGCATTACTTGGTCTGTTATGTGGATGTTTGGGTGATTCAGGGGTGGGGAATTTGTGGTGGGTGGGGGTGTATTTGGGGATTGTTATGTGTGTTGGGCCTGGTCTTTGGGTGTTAAGTGAATTTCGTTGTATGGGTATACTGTGTATACACGTACAATGACAATAAAGTTAAACTAAAGAGCAACCAGTACTCTTTTTGTAATATAGAATGAAGTGTAGCAGTCACTTAAATAAATAATCAGTAATGCTTCAAAAGAAGGAAGCAAAAACACAGAACAAAATATTTTAATTAATTAAAATTGAGAAGGTGGTTTGATTGAAAAAGGGAGAGAAAAAAACATGTAGTCTGGCCCTCAATTATTTAGATCAGATACTGCTGAGAATCAAAACATATTGTCAAGAAGATCTGGGAAAGCTTTGAAATATTTAATCACACTCAATTTTTGTTTTCACAGGACGTAATTCCAACATACCATCAGTTATACATGAGGCTTGCCGTCCTTGGAATGGAACTGTCTGGGGAATGCATCGATCTTTATGAGATATTTATCCTGAGATTTCTGCTCTGGAATAGGCAGTGTAAAATAATGCTTGCTGTGCTTTAAATTGAAGAATATTCTTCACTTCAGAGTGTCCAAATGTCAATAATAATATATTATATTTTGTAAGAACAGAAATATGTTTTTCTGAGGATATTATGCATCAAGTGTAAGCTATAGTACATCTTGTCATATTAAAAAAAATGATTGTAGCGTTCAGAAAAATTTAGTTACAGAATTCTGTTGCCATCGAAGCCCTCAGATAAATGTTGTTATGATGGCTTCAGGGGAAAATGCTATTTTTACACTAGTACTGAATTGGAATGATAATTTTCAGAGCCCTTTGGGACAAAAGAAAAGGCCTAAAAGAAGAGGTGACTAGGCATTGTGGCATAGTATTTAAAATTTATTTACAAATATGCAAGTTGATAGTCAAGCACAAGTAAACGTTGCAGTGGAAAACAATCCATCTATAATGAATGGATCAATCTTCCTATTCAATAAATTCAACTGAATTACAAAGTAGTTCTCTATAAACATTTAGCTGCTTTTTAAGTTATCTATTTTGACTTAGCTGATCCACTTCATGAACAATATCTTTGAAACACATGAAGTGCCTGCATGGACACTTTCCCAAGTGTATTTGCCAAGCCAAATTGCAAACAGAGAAGAAGAACTGAAGGAACATGTAAAATGAGATGGTGGAAGTAATCTAGACGATGAACTAAGAATAACACTTGGACTCAGCTGTGCAGTATCAAAGATGATACTGATTACCTTAACTTCAAACTATATTGTTTTGTTCTGTCTTCCTATTCTTTCTTTTTCAGGTACAGTTATAGGCAGAAAAAACAACAACAATGTGGCAAACCAAACCAAAACAGATTTTAACCTGATAAACTCATTCAAATATTCTTTCTTTCTTTCTTTCCTTCCTTCCTTCCTTCCTTCCTTCCTTCCTTCCTTCCTTCCTTCCTTCCTTCCTTCCTTCCTCCCTCCCTCCCTCCCTCCCTCCCTCCCTTCCTTCCTTCCTTCTTGCTCTTTCTTGCTTTCAATAATTTTTATTTTAAATTATATATTGTTTCTACACAAGATTACATTTATTCTCAAATTACCTTGCTCTGAAACATGACACATGTGTATGGACACCACTATAATTGAGTAAAGTAAAGTAGTCATTCCAGTCTCTGATCAGAAGAACTGGGATGCCACTTTATTCCTCAGAGGTCCTTCTAAAAAGAGAAGTGCCTGTTCAAAGATTTACTGAGACGAGAAAGTCACTATATAGTTTGGATGGGTGGGTAAGAGGCAGTGAAAGAAGACAAATATAATTGTGTTATACATCAGCGGTCACCAACTGGTGGTCCGTGGCAGGGGTGAAATCTAAAAATTTCCCCTACTGGTTCTGTGGGCGTGGCTTATTTGGTGGGCGAAGCTTGGCGGTCAGGTGACTTGGTGGGTGTGGCTTGGTGGTCAGGTGACCGGGTGGGTGTGGCCAAGTCAACGTCACTTCTTTGCCCTTTTTTGACCTACAAAAATAAAATATATCAATTATTTCATGCAATTAATACTTAAATAAAAGTAAACGAAGTACACAAAACAATAAGAGGTACACAAATACTTACATAAGAGCAATAAAAGTGTTGTCTTTGATGTTGCTTCTTCCACCAATGATAATAATGACCCACAAAAAGAAGATATACCATGATATACAAATTTAACCATTTAATACTTAAATAAGAATAAAAGAAGTACACAAAACAATTAAAAAATAATAAAAGAGGTCCACAAATACTTACATAAAACTAACAGTTTTTATGGACCTCTTTTATTGTTTTATTGTCATCTTTAGCTATAAGACGTTTCCACATAGCTATTTCAGTGGCACTCTCCTCACTTACACTTTTCTTGAACTTGATGCATGGATCATTGGCTGAGCGATGGTGTTCTCTGAACCACTTTTTCACTGCAGGAATGGGGTCCCATTTTGGAAGAGGTAGGCCAGTAACGCTGATGGTCATGAGCATTAAATTGGAAACGGTTAAATTGGAAACGGTTAGGCGACTTCTGTTCTCTGAACATATTAAGTTCATTTTCGAAAAACCCCTTTCCGCTTCTGCAGAACTTACTGCAATTGTTCTGACAATATCTTTTGCTTTTTTAATATTGTCAGGAATTGCATACCTCTTCAAAACTTTTAACACATTCTTCACAAAATCTCTAGTCATTGATGTTAATGTTGTAATTGAAAATGTCACCAAATGTGCACAGTTGTTCTTCAGCTGCTATCCATGGAATGACTATTTCCTCAAAATCCCAGTACTCTGGCACCAAAAAATTGAGAAACTGTAGTTTATTTGTGGTGTCTTGCAATTGGCTACCAGTTTTTAAATGTTCACAGTCCATCAGTTGTTTCTGCAATTTTTTTTGATGCTTCCTAAAAGTCTTTCCTGATGAAGTCCAACAAATTGATGATTTTCTATGAAGTTTATATTTCTGAAGTAATTAGCCCATCAACTTTTCTTTCGTATGAGCCCTTTTCCTTTGTAAGCAGCTCAAATGCTTTTATTGATCTTCTCACCAGTTTTTCAGCCTTTATTATGTCTGTATTGCGTGCTTGCAGTGCAGTTGAAAGAAGTGAGATTTCTTCAAGAATATCGATCATCAGCGCCAAATTATTTAAGAAATATTTATTTTCCAAATGGGCAGTCATACCTGAGTATTTTACATTCACATGAAAATATTAATGTAGCACTGGATAAGCATGGCACACAGCTATGGTTGCCCTTAAACTACAGGCAGCCCATCTTGGCCCAAAATCTCTACCAATCCTTATGATGTTAATGTCAAGTTCTTCGGATATTTCGTCAAGTTCAATTCGGTTCTTATTGGATTGCTGAAAAATGGAGCATATCTTATCAATAAATATTTTTAAATGATTTACTTGCTTTATTTCCTTTATGGCATCATCTAAAACAAGTTGGAGGCGATGGTTCAAGCAGTGCCATTTGATGATGTTTGGAAACTCTTTTGCTATTCTGGTGCTCACTCCAGATTTTCTCCCAAGCATAGGGGCACCATCAGAGCATAATGCTATTAAATTTTTTTGTAGGTAGTCCGGGTAAATCCAACCTTATGTAAACTTTCAAAAACTGCAGAACATATTGTCTCTGCATCTTGTTTCTTCAATTCAACAAGCTCGACAAAAATTGTTGGTGGGTCCTCTGAGTCCTCAACTTTTATGAAAACTATCAAAATTGGTTTGCAGGATACTGTTGAGGCTTCATCAATGATCAGACATATTTTCAGATTCTGTCCAATGATGCTGGTAAACATTTGGGTTTTAATTTCATTTGCAATGCACTCAACTATTTTCACAACCGTTGGCCTTTAATGCAATCCTACTCCCAGATCTACTTCATTTTCAGTTTGTAATTCTATCAATTCCTCTATGCTTGAAATTAGTCTGCATGCTTTTGCCAGGCTGTAAACAGTTTTAAACATTTTAGAAGTAGTGCCATATTGCATTTCAGAAATCTTGTCCATTGCTTTTGTTATGGCTTCCTGCTCAGCTTGTTTTATATTGTCTCTACAAATGGTGTGCAATTTTGATATGAAATGTTCTCTCATTTTTCTTCCTTAGAGACGCCTGCTGCACTTCCTTGTTTTTCTCAGCCGCCTCAATCTTGAAAAGCTTCCACTCTTTGGACACATGAATACTGCTCTCTATTGAGAAGTCATGTTTCACACAGTACTTGCAACCTAGTTTCTTGTTTGAAATTTCCAACCCGTCATACTTCTCGTGAAAGTTTCTATACTGTTGCATGGTCCAGCAGTCTGGAAGAATGCTTTCAATTTTGGACACGGCGGATGACTCAATACTTGACTTGCTGCATTGTCCGGTTTCAAGTGGTGGAAGTGGCGGTGCTTGGGATGGTTTTGGATCCACTTCTGATGGTTGTTGTGCAAGTTATGGTTTCTTGGCCAAGAAACCCATCAAAGTCTGTTGCCTTTTCATCCTTTCTGTTAAAGGCGGCAGCTACTGCAAAAGGAAAAAAAAGGAGCTTTGTTAGCTGATGACACACAATGTAAAAGCACACAAAAAGCTCAAAAAGCTCAAAAACCAAGTTTCACACTTTACACACACACAACACAACACAGCTTACTCACACACAATGCAAAAGCAGCTGCACTTCACCCAAAATGGCCCCTACAACAAGCAGGAACCTCACAGAGCCACAAAAAGCTCAAAAACCAACTTTCACACTTTACGTACACAAAATGTCACATACAGCTTTGTGAGATTTTGTGTGTTTGTGTAGTTAGAATGAAACACTACAGAAACACACAAAATCTCAGAAAGCTGCACAGATATTTTATTTTGTTATTTTATTTTATTTATATTTTTAGATAAAAGCAGCTAAATTTAAAACTTCCTAAATTTTAAATGGCTATGTCTAAAAAAAAAAAAAATCCTAAAAAAACCCACAATTAACTATTTTTTAAACCCCCCCCCAAAAGAATCAGTTATTTCCCCAATTGAAGGCACAAGGCAGGCAGGCAGGCAGATTCAGTTGCTCACCGATGAGATTGATTGCAGGCAGGCAGATTCAGTTGCTAGCTGATGAAATTGATTGCAGTGATTGCAGCAGGCAAAGCAAGGCAGGCGTTGCAACCAGTGGCTCGGGATTCAGTCCGAAGAGTGAAGGTAAGCAAGCCGGAGGCTGGGAGGAAGGTGGGTGGTTAGCTAGGTGACTTAGCCAGGCCAGGCAGGCAAGCCCAGGGAGCAGTACAAGACTCACAAACGATCCCCAGTGATTGCATGAACTATGCGAGCCTGGGGATGGGGGGTGTCTGGCATGCTAAGTCGCAACTGGCAATCTTACCTTTTTGTGTGAGCAGCCGTTGGCGAGGTGTTCGAGCGAGGCGAGGTCCGAGCGAGGTGAGGCGTCTGAGCAGGCAGGCATTGGAGAACTTCTGGGCAAAGTAGCTGGGCTGCATGGAAAGGGGAACTTATATAGGCCTGGGGTGGGGTGGGTGGACCAGAAGCACCGAGTGGCGGGAAAAGCAACTGGCAGGAAAAGTGAGTGAGCCAGAAAGAAGCAGCAAGCGGGCAAGCGGACGAGTGGGCAAGCGGGTGACCGGGCAATTGGATGGGCATGGGCAGGGGGGCCAGGGATTATTGCTACGGTTCGGCGAACCAATGGCAA